GGGAAGAGCGCAATGATGGTGCCAGCTTGGGCCAGTGAAGCAATGTCCTCTTCAACTAGACTGAAGAACAAAAAAACGACAGCAACTTGTCTGTTCCCCTTTCCCCAATTCCCCAGCACTGTTCCCATCCCCCCAATTCTCCAATAAAAATCTTAAAAAAAAAAAAAGAAGAGTTGGCTTGGGATGTCTGTCAGCTCTGAGCAGCAGGGCCTGGTTCAGATCCCACATGAGGGCCAGTGACACTGCTCCCTCTACAGCTAAGATGGTGAACAACAGCTCAACCTGGAGCTAGGCTGCTGTGAGTTGCTGGCAACGGCCTAGGCTGCAGTGGAGCGGCAGTAGGCTGCTGTAAAAAGCTACCATGAGTGGCTGGCAGCCGGTGTGAGTGGCTGGCAGCCAGAGTGAGCCGTCAAGTGCGCCGTGAGCGGCAGTCCAGGGCCCAGCGACCGATCTGCCTCACCCAGGAAGAGCACAATGATAATACCAACATTGGCCAGTGAAGCGATGTCCTCCACAACTAGACTGAAGCACAAAAGGACAGCAACTTGTCTGTTCCCCTTCCCCTGATTCCCCAACACTGTTCCCCTCTCCCAATTCCCCAATAAAATCTTAAAAAAAGATTATAAACTTTTTCTATATATTGTTCTTCTAATCCCATAGATTTTTTTCCCTTGTAGAGCTTTTAATTTATCTAGAATTTCTTTTTCCTATCAGAGAAAATCAATGCCTATCTAACATAGAAATAGAACTTTAGTTTTTTCTAAACGATAGCTGACAGTCTCTCTTTTTCTTAACATATCATTTGTGTTTTTCCCTGTCTTCCTAGCCAACATTTTCAAGAGATGTCTGGTATTCTTTCATCTGTAAAAATATTCCTTTCCTGTTGTGCCATTAAGACATTTGTTCATTTCTTATATTTCAGATAAAAGAACTTAGTTTTTGTATTCTGCAGAAACATTTAGCACAGTACCTAGCACATAGTGGGAGCAGGAATTGTGGAATGAGTGAATAAAAGAATAGAGAGATATCTGTGTGCCTGCTCCATTGGTCAGTGAGGTCCTGGTTCCCCCTCCATCTGCTTTCTTTATCTTGGGGCAAGGAGATAACCCTGTCCCCTACTTGTCAGCTGGAGGGGGTTTCGAGGTTATACAGCCCAGTGACAAAGTTTTCACCAATCTGTGGAAAATTTTAAAAAATGACAATTATGCACATATGCACACAGATGCATAGAGAAAATAAATGTAAGGCTGCCAACTGTCTTCTTGGGAAGGATCCTGAAATCCTGGCTTTCCTTTCCTATTGTTCTTATATTATGGTATATTTCGTTTTCGTGAAATCCAAAATTCACGGAAACACTGAATTGTAGTCCAGCTTTCCATCTACTATTTATTGAACTATCTGCTCTGTGCCATCATTGCTCTTGGGTTGAGGATTTCACAGTGAAAAGACCTGTATAGTTTAGCAGGGAAAGTACATTCTTGAACCAACGACGCAATAGTTTACAGCGGGTGAGGAACGTATAAGGAAGAGGACAAGGTGGCAGGTAGAAACTGAGGCCCAGGGAAGCGCGAGGAAGAGCCCTAGGGTACACGGTCTCCCCCGTCACCAGCGCGTCAGCAAAAAGGCCGCAAGATCCCCTGGCGGGATAGAGATGGGGTGGGGGCGTGGTTTTGGTACCCTAGTGCCCCGCCCACCCTGTTCGGCCCCGGGCAGCGGGGGGAGGGGCAGCACGTGAGCGGCGCGGGGCGGGTCGGAACGCTCACGCGGGCGGGTGCGTTTCTGGCCGGAGGCTTTTGCGGAGAGCTCCGCGTCCCTTGGGGGCGGCGGAGGCGGCGGAGGCGGCGGAGGCGGCAGGGGGAATCCGGAAGTCAACACCATGTCGAGCCTGCACAAGAGCCGGTAAGGGGCCACAGGGGCCGACTGGGGCTGGCCACTCCTGGCCAGGCCGCCTCTTCTGCCCTGCGGAGGGGACGCGTGGATGCGGCCAGGCAACGGGAGTCTCCTGGCAGAGGGGCTCAGGGGCTCACTCTCTAACCTCATTGCCTGTGGGCCTGAGTGGGCGCGGAGCGGAGGCACCACTGCCCACCCCGGTGTCACCCCCCTCCTCTCTCGCCCTCACCCTGGACCCCTGGTTTACCCCTTCGTTGGTGTCTTCCTCATGCAGGGCCTCAATGCCCCGTACCCCCCCGGTCCCTGTTCTTGTCTCTCTTGTTAACCCCTGCCTCGGTAGCCTCCTCTCCGAATGCTCCCTGTCCTCCGTGCCCGTTTCTTACTAGAAATGACACAAAAGCTGGATTCTCCAGTCTGTCCCCTTTCCCAGGCCAGATCCTGCAGCATTGGCTAAATTTTGCTTATTCTTCAGTTTTCTTCCAGGACTTGTTTAAACCTTTTGCCCTTGCCTGCCGGTCTTCTAGTGGTTATATTGTTGATTCTGGATTGCTGCGTGCAGGTTACACAGGTCCCTTGTCTACGGATCAAATTACTCCTGATTCTTAGGGTTTATTGAGTTCAGATAGTAGAGCTGTGGGCTGGGCCTGGCCAGCAGGAAGTGCCCAATAAATGCCTGCTCACTAAATATTAGAATTTGTCTGATTTCATGGTGCTTGTTTGATAACCTCTAGATAAGAATATCTCTACATTTCTGGTTTTAGAGATCTGTGGTTCTATAGCTTCCCAAAGCTGCCTTTGCTCAGGACCTTGACTGAGTTTTGCCATCTTTATGTCCTGAAGGTTAGGGAGGAACCGGGTGGAGACTGGTGGTGTGAGGGAGCTGTGGGCTTCAGGAGTGGTCACTAAACCTGTCTTCTTGGGGTTTGGGTGTACTTCATTGGCCTCCCCCTCCTGCCTTCTAGGATTGCAGATTTCCAGGATGTTCTGAAGGAGCCCACGATTGCTTTGGAAAAGCTTCGGGAACTCAGTTTTAGTGGTAAGAGACAACTCTCCATTTTCAGGGTTTTCCAGGAGCAGCGTTGTGGCTAGGATGGAGGGGAAGGTGCCAGGGCCACACCTGCTCAGCTCTGGGGGCCAGTCTGCCTCTTGGGGCCTTCTGCAGATTCTGTGGAGCTGAACAATCCAGTGACTTTGGAGGGGGTTTCCAGAGGAGCGGCGGCCACAGTGTGTCTGTAGGCCTTAGGGTGCTTAATTGGCTCATGCGTGATGTTTCTGTTTATTACTTCCCTGGAGTAACTGGAGAGGGCTGAAGGTGGCAGGAAGAGAATGGGGAAGAGACTTCTTGAGCCGAGGCCGGGCCTTCCCTCATTTCTCAGCAAGCTTCCTGTGCTGTAGAAGTGGGTTAGCTGCCGAGTGGTTCCTGGTTCTCTCCCTGGCTGGGGATCAAAGCCTACTCAGGCGACAGTGAACTTTGGTTAGAGTCAGGCCTTGAGACGCTGGCTGGAAGGAGCTGCACCTCAGCAGTGTTTGACTTTGCCCTCGTGACATGGTTAACCTTCTGGCACAGAGGTTTTCGTTTGTCTTTAAAAAGAACCCAAGGTGTCCTTTATAGCTTCTTGTCACTGCTCGGCCTTCGTAACTGTCCGCAAGGAATTCTTGAGTAGCGCCCCTCATCCCCATGCAGATCCGGAGGTGGGGGCATTAGCTCCTGCTCATGGTTCTTAGGGATACCATAGCAACAGCTGCTTTAGCAAGGTTCCTGGCAGCACTGCAGAAGTTTGTCTTTCTGTTCAGGAGTGATCTTTAGGCCTTGAAGACCTTGAGGGGTCCTGGGACCTGCGCTGAGCCGAACAATCTTCCAGGCCTCAGGGGAGGCAGTGTGGTAGTGGTTAAGAGTTTGGGATCTAGAGTCAGACAGACCTGTGTTTGAGTCCTTGATTGCTCTCTTTACAGACACGTTTCTTTAAGTGTAAGATGAGGACAACGATGCTAATCTCCTCTACTTAACTAGAGTTATAAGGAGGATTGAGTGAAACGATGTCCGTAAAGCACAGAGCACTTAGCATTCGCAGCTTAGTTTATATTCCACATAATAGCTATGGAATATCATCTGTGTGCCATGCCCTGTACTAGGTACTGGCAGTATAACTCATGCAGTTCTTGTCTTTCTGGGGCTTACCCAGTAGTAGAGGTTACAGATGTTAAATAAATACACAAATTATAGTACAATCCTAGTTGTGATGGATGCTATGAGGGAGAAGTCACGGAGCCATTATGTATAATAAGGGACCAGACTTTGATTGGGAAGAGATGGTGGTTGGTAAAGGCTGCTCTGAGGAAGAAATATCAAGGATGAGAAGGTGTTATCCTCAAACGAACATTCCAGACAGAGGGAGCTCTGGGCTGGGGCAGGGGTCATGGAGAGAAAGCACACACAGGATTACCATCTTGTCTTTAATCTTTCTGGTGGAAAATGATTCTTGGAGAAGGACTTCTGGCTCCACTCCATGCCAACTGGCTCTGAGGTGGAGGGCTGGGGGGTTCTGGGACTCTGGCCTGGGGCGTGACCTTTGCTTGCTGTGTCCACAGGCATCCCCTGTGAGGGCGGACTGAGGTGCCTCTGCTGGAAGGTGGGTGTGCCTGGGGTGGGGCTTCTGCTCTGCTGAGAGTCCCTGCTTCCTGCATGGGCTGCCCTTACCCCCAGCCCCATCTTTCTGTTCTGGGCCTTTCCTTGCTTTGTTCGAGGAAGCTTTTCTGGGGAAGCTCTGGGTTTTCTGTTCCCCTTGGTATCTCCTCCAGGATCCGTTTGGGGATGGAACACTTTGGAATGCCAGTGAAGCCCTTTGCTTCCTGGTCCAGACAGTGCAGTGAAAGGGATGTTTATTAGGACAGAAAAGGCCGTGCTTTGCCCAAAACTATTATTAGCTGACATGGGAGTGGAGGCCCAGTATCCTACTCTCCAGCCCCTTTGAGCGCAAGGTTTCATCATCATTTGGAAAAGTCTGTGTGAGGAAAAGAAGAGGAAAGGGCTGGTTTGGGATGGTGGAGGATGGAGGCCATGGGGAGGAAAGGGGAGGTTCCCCTTAGCCCACACCTACGTTCCTGGGCTTCAGCTCATTTTGCCTCCTCTGGGTGATATCAGATGTTTTCCTTGAGACCTACCTGTCAGCCTCTACTGACTATCCAGGGTTGGGCTGGGCGAGTCACCAGAGCTTTGCTCCTCTCCCTTTGTGCAGATTCTCTTGAACTACCTCCCCTTGGAGAGAGACTCATGGACTTCCATCCTGGCCAAGCAGAGGTGAGACCCAGAGAAAGGAGGATGCCAGGAGGGCCTTTGTATCAGACAGAACAGGTCTGCTGAGCCTGTCCTGCCTCCTGTTGGTGCTTCTCTGGGCCGAGCTCCCTGGGCAGGACCTCTGGGAATCATCCCTCTCTTCTCTTCTGCAGGGAGCTATATTCTCAGTTCCTGAGGGAAATGATTATCCAGCCTGGCATTGCCAAAGCCAACATGGGCGTGTCCAGGGAGGATGTGACCTTTGAGGACCATGTGAGTAGGGGTCAGCAGCAGGGACTGAGGTTACAGAGTGGGGAAGGGTGTGGGCTGTGGAGCGGGTGAGGTCCCCCCACTCCGGAGGATAGGGTACAGCCAGTCTCGGTCCCCTCTGGCCCTTCCAGTACCCCCTTTCTTCATTTGGCTGCTCAGCCCCTGAAGGCCATTGTCAGGAATATAAATGATAACTGGGACTTGGGGAGTGCTGTGTGTGCAGCCCGAGCCAGGCCCTCCACGTTCATTGTCTCCTTTTCCTCCTCATCCCTGTTCCTTGAAGAAGGTTCTATAATCCTGAAAAAAGTCAGCAGGGTGGGAGTGAGGGTAAACTGCCTTTCTGTGGCCTGGAGGAAGGCTCATTCTCTCCTCCAGGACTGAGCTCCGCCCTGTGCCCTGTGTGCTTGGCAGTGTAGGAAGTGGAGAGGGATCAGATCCAGGCCCATCCTCCAGGGAATGCCATGGGTGACGCAAAGCATCAGTGAATTAGATTCGAAGAGACATGATGTTACAGCATTCATTCATTCATTCAACAAGCATGTAGTGCGCCCCTGTTACATGCAGCATTCTAGAGCCTAGGCAGTGGGCAGAAAGAACAGAGTCCTGCCATGCAGGGATGCACTCGGCAGACGGCAGGGCTTGGCTGCCAGCAGTGGAGTTTAAATGGCATTTGGGAGGCTGTGGGAGGCCTGTGCTGCTTCTCCAGTAGCTCGCAGGCTGTCTCAGAGCCACAGCTGGGCCTCTGGTGGCATTGTTGGTATGAGGCTACTGCTCAGGCCTCCAAACTGGTATCTGCCCCTGGGGCCCTAGCTGGGCCTAGGACAGCAGCTTGTTTTCTCCCCACAGCCACTCAACCCCAACCCTGACAGCCGGTGGAACACGTACTTCAAGGACAATGAGGTGCTCCTGCAGATCGACAAAGATGTCAGGTAAGCAGGGCTCCGGGGCTGGGAGCTGGCCTAGGTCCAGGCCCCAGTGATGCTGGGCCTGAGAATGGGGCTGGTAAGTGCAGTGAGTGTGGAGTATCCGGTGCCTGGCTCTGCTTTCTCCCTGCCTTAGTTTCAGTTGTGCCCGGGCATTCATGGATTCATCTGATCATTCCTTCAACAGATCCTGAGTCCCTGCTATATGGCAAGCTCAGGGATGAGCACTGAATAGACAGACATGGTCCCTCTCCCAAAGGAGCCTAGAACCTTGGAGGGGAAGATGGGAAAACAGACGTTCCACAAATTAGAGCTGTGTAATCATTAGCATTTGTGGTAATGCTCTGAAGGAAGAGTTCGGGGTGCTTCAGGGTGATCAGGTGCCTTGCCTTAGGAAGCAGTGTTTCAGCTGAGGAGGTCTGAGGAGTTGGGGTCTGGGGGAGGAGGGCGGGAAAGACTGCGGTGGGTGGGATCTGCCCTTGGGAGGCCCTGAGAGCCCATGGAGCTTGGCATGTGCAGAAAGCAGTGTGAAGGCCAGTGTGGTTACTGCACTGGAGGGAGGCAGGGTTGGCCCTTGGACTTGATCCTAAGCATGAGGGGCAGTCATGCAAAGGTTTTCAGCATAGGAGTAACAGGATCAGATCTGTGTTTTTGTAAATTGTGAGCTACACTGTGTGCATGTGTGTGCTTTTCCACTTGGTAAATATGGAAACGCTGGCTGTGCTGACCTGTTGAGTTAGTGAGTGGCAGAGGGTGGAATCTCCCACCGGCTGGTGAGGAGCTAGAAGGAAGGCCTGGTCTGCAGTGGAGCTGAGTGGTTAGAGCTTGGGTTCTGGAGTCTGCCTGGCTGCTTTTAGTTCCACCTTCTTCCAGTTGTGAGCTGTGTTTCCAGCCATTCACCACCCTGGGTGCTGCTCCTCTGCCTGGGTTCATTGTGCCCAGGGTGGCCCAGCAGGATGCAGAAGGGGGCTCTCGCCTCCTCATTCTCAGGCTGGTGTTGGGGCACCCTCAATCCACGAGGGGTTCTAATGGCCCTGTTTGAGTCCAGAACCATGTCTGGAACCTGGAGAAACAGGTTCTGTCTTAACACTGTAGTGACTGTATTACATTCAATGTTTCCAGAGGGCAAGTTTGCAGTGTTGCTGTGTATAACTCTAAAAAGTGCCTATCCTGTAACGCATATATATATGTTGCATATATATATATATATATGTGTGTGTGTGTGTGTGTGTATATATATATATATGTGTGTGTGTATATATATATATATATACACATATTTATTTTTTACTATTTTTTTCTTTCTTTCTTTATTGGGGAATTGGGGAAGGGGAACAGCCAAGTTGTTGTCCTTCAGTCTTAGTTGTGGAGGGCACAGCTAGCCCAGCTCCAAGTCTAGTTGCCATCCAGCCACTCGTAGGCAGCTCATGGCCACTCAGCTTAAGGTGCCATATTCCATCTTAGTTGTGGGTGGGTGTAGCCCACCATGCCATGCTGGAGTCGAACCAAAACCTTGTTGCTAAGAGCGCATGCTCTAACCACTAAGCCATCTGGCTGCCTGTCGGCAGCTCAGGGCAGCTCAGACCAAGGTGCCGTGTTCAATCTTAGTTGCGGGTGGGCATAGCCCACCATCCCATGCAGGAGTCGAACCGGCAACCGGCAACCTTGTTAGGAGCACGTGTTCTCACCAGCTGAGCCATCCTGCCACCTGTTGGCAGCTCAGCAGCAGTTCAGCTCAGGTACAGCTTACTGGCCCATGTAGGAATTGAACTGGTGACTCTGTTGCTCAGCACTCGCGCTCTTAACCAACTGAGCCACTCGGCCTGCCCTGTAATGCATACGTGTGTGTGTGTGTGTGTGTGTGTGTGTGTGTGTGTATTAAAGATTTTATTGGGCTGTAATGCATATATTTGTAAAGCTTGATCACATTCTAGAGATTATCTTCAACTTGCTTTTCCTCTCACTCTGTCTTGGACATTTTCCCTAGACAGCTATAATATTCTATTATATAGCATGTAGATTAACTAAACCTCTTTTACCATTTTAAACCACACTACAGTTAACATGCTTGTACATATTAGATATTTTTGACATGCAAAAATGTTTATGGTTTAGGAGTTGGGCTGTAAGGACAATTAAAAAATATATATTTGTGCATGTATTTATTTGCAAATACACAAAAGAATATGGGCTTATATATATAGGTAATGACTATATTGCCTCTTAGAAACTATGTTTTTTAAATAAAATGTTATTAATTTTTTAAATGCCTTTTGGGGTGCTGGGGCAGCTGGCAGCAGGGTGCTGATGGAATGCCCAGGACCTGTGTCCTGAGTAACGTACTGTCATCTCCTGTTTCCTCCTGACAGGAGGCTGTGCCCAGACATATCCTTCTTCCAGAGGGCCACTGAGTACCCATGCCTCCTCATCCTGGACCCCCAGAATGAGTTTGAGACCCTTCGTAAGCGGGTGGAACAGACGACGTTGAAATCCCAGACGGTGGCCCGGAACCGGAGTGGGGTCACAAATGTGAGAGGCAACCTGGGGGCCCCAGGGCCTCCCCGTGACAGCCTTTACCTTCCTGCTTCCCTTGGACCACTGGCCATGGGGCCCATGACCATCTGCCCTGCCAGTTACCTAAAGCAGCGTTGGTTCTGCCGGGTTCCCCTCCTGACAGGGCTCTTTCTGAAACTCAGAGATCAAAGGCTGGGTGTAACGGGCGCTGGGGCAGGTCCCTGCTATGCAGTGAAGGAGCCATGCTGCTAGTTTTACGGTGGAAATGGCTCTTTAAAAAGTAATTACATGTGTGATGGGAGCAAGTATGGGGTGGGGAGCTGACCTGGGCTGGATATCAGGGAAGACTTTCCTGAGGCTCGAAAAACTAGGAGGAAAGAACATTCCAGTAGGGGAGGAGGGCTGTGTGGAAGTCCTCAGTCTGGAGAGAGAGTGGTGTGTTCAAGGAATAGAGGAGTCCACGGGCTAGAGGCAGAGGGAAAGGGAGAGGAGAAGGTTGCTGGAGGATTCTGGAAAGGTCGATGGTGGTGAGGCCCTGTGGGGCCTTTATCCTGGGGGCTGGGGAGCCCCTGCAGCATTCTAAGCAGGGCTGTGATGTGATTCAGGTCAGCTCTTGTGAACAACCACTGTGCGCGGTGTTGATTAGAATGGGCAGGAATAGAGGTGGAGGGGGAGCCTGGGAGGTGGCTGGGGAGCCTGGGAGGTGGCTGCATTCTCTAGGCAAAGGTGGGGGCTGGGGTGGGTGGGGCTAGATCAGAGAGACTTAGGAGGTAGAATTGATAGGAGTTGTGCTGGCCAAGCCTTGCTGAGTGTTTGAACCCCAGTCTTCTACAGGCTCCTGTAACTCTGAGAAGCCGCTTGTAGCCAAACAAGTGTATTTTACACACACACATATACACACACACACACACACACACACACACACACACACACACATATATTTATATTTATATTAAGTTTATTGAACCCAAATTGACAACAGTTGCAGGGAAGCAAGATCTCAAATGCTCCTAAAAGTGTATTATCTTATTCTTTAACTTACACCTACTGCTTTGGTACCTGGAACTCTGACTTGTTCCTCAAAACTTTTCCACTGGCTTCCAACAGTGGAAAAGTCCTCCATAACCTCCAACAAGCTAGAGACAGATACTACTACAGAAACTTTTTTCCCCAAGTGGAATGACTGATCAAGGCTCTGTGTCTGTAGGAGAGCAGCCGTTTCCCGCTACAGGGGTGACAGGGGCAGTTACAGCTGATCCCAGAGGTCTATGTGCCTATGACAGAGCTGGGTGCGCTAAGGGATGTGGAATGGTTCGCAGAAGGACTGCGGGGCTTGCTCTGTGGGCCGCACTCTTAGTCGGCTGCTGACGTCCTGGCTCTTGTCATTCATTTCACTAAAGCCATCCGGGGCTGCGAGCCAAGCTCTTACCCATTCTAGGTTTGGATGTTGTCCTGGGGCAGAGCACCTGATCAGAAGCTTCATCCTTGGGCCTGGGCCCTGGTGGGGCAATCTGAGTCAAAGCTGACCATCTGTTTGACTCCGGGCAAGAAATACCAGGCTCACTTTCCTGGGCCTCCGTCACCTCTTCTGACCTCTTCTGTAAAGGGCGAAAGCACCCTGCTTGGCTTCTGAATTGCCAAGAGGATGGAATGAGGTCATGGCAGAGCAGATTCTTGGAAAGCTGGGAAGCACTGGGCATTCTTTGAGGCCTGGACCTCAGGTTCTGGAGTCAGCCAGTCTGGGTTCAAATCCCAGCGCCACCCCTTAATGAGAAACACGATGAGTGACCTAACTGTTCTGAGCCTCAGTTTCCTTACCTTGAAAATGATGTTGAGAGAATATTCTAGGCAGCTCAGAGCATTAAATGGAGGCCTACTTGTAGAGCGCTGTTGTACACCTGAAGGCTCTCAGGACATGGTAGCGATGTGTGTCCACGCGTGCACGTGTATATATAATGGGAAAGGGAGTTCAATGTCCCCAGGGCCCTGCACTTCCAGGACAGTTTCCTGCATTGTCCCTGCCTGGGCTTGCCTGTGGCTCCCTCATACAGGTAACCCCAACCACCTGAATCTTGACAAAGCTCCCGAGAATCCTGATGGGCAGCCCAGCCGGTGTTGGGGCCTCTGCTCTATTGCTTGAGTTTTTAGCAGGGATCATCATCTATCTATCTGCCAACTTTTCTTTTGAAAATTGCAAAACATTCAGAAAAGCTGAAAGAAGAGTACAATGCACACGTATATACTTGCCACCTAAATCCAACAATTGTTAACATTTTGCCACATTTGCGTGTGTATGACATAGAGACAGTAAGTTGCAGAGGTCCTGACCCTTCACCCCCGAGTACTTGGTAGGCCCGTCCTGAGAATAAAGACACCCTCCCCCTCACCACCAATACCTGGGAAGATTAACTATAATCACATAATAACGCTGAACATCCAGTCCATGGTCAGGTGTCCTCAGTTGTGCTAAGAATATTTTTGTTTTTTTTACTTCCAAACCAGGACCCAGTCAAGGTTTGTGTGTTGCATTGGGATGTTTCTTGTTCTGGAGCAGGCCTGCCCTCCCCCCATCCCCCACAGCGTTTGACATTTTGCAGAGTCTCAGCCAATTGTCTGGTTTTGATATATTTAAAGTTTTGTTTTCTAAATCAAAGAATAACATGCAGTAAGATCACAAATCTCAGGTATACGGCTAGATAAACTCCTTATGTATATACCCGTGTAACTGCCACCCAGATCAAGATATCGGACATTTCTATCACCTAGAAAGTCCTTTCATGCTCCTGCCGAGTCAGCACCCCTCTGCTCAGAGGGAAGCACTATTCTGGCTTTTATCACCATAAATTCGATTTTAGTCCAGTCGTCGTGGAGAATGTCTCACATTCTGGGTTGATCTGTTTGTTTCCTCCTGGTAGTGTCAGACACATTCCTCTATGCACTGTATCCCCCATAAGCTGGAGGTTAAGCTCAGGCTTAACGGTAGACATTTTTGGTGAGAACACATTGCCCTTCATGCCACCGGCCGCCTTACGGGGCTCCTCCTTTTCTCCCCCAGATGAGCTCCCCACACAAGAGCTTGGCGCCATCATCCGTGAATGAGTACCAGGTGCTGCCTAGTGGCTGTGAGGCCCACTGGGAGGTGGTGGAACGCATCCTGTTTATCTACGCCAAGCTGAACCCTGGCATCGCTTACGTGCAGGGCATGAATGAGATCGTGGGGCCCCTCTACTATACGTTCGCCACCGACCCCAACAATGAGTGGAAAGGTAAAAGGGCTCTTGGCTGCCCACATCCCTTGTCACTGGCTCCCTGGAAACATGGACTGAGGAAAGCCGGGCTAATGGGCTTTATCAGGCTGTGCAGCTTGCATCCTTGTCTGGGCCTTCGTTTTCCCTCTGTCAGATAAGAGGGTTGCCCTTGATCCTCTCTGAGATCCTTTCCAGCTTGGACTTTCTAGAATGTTGGAAGTTTACTGATCTCTTGATATTTGCAATTGAATTTCTGGTAGAAGAGATGTATATACAGGAAGCTGAATGATAGAATTTAATGATTTGAAAAATGTCATCAGAAGAGCATATAATCAGTTGCTAAGCAATTATACAGTGTTGCCAAAAGAGATGAGAAGTGATGTCCTTAGTCTGGGGTGGAGAGTGGTCAAGGAGAGAAGGTACTGAGCCTGACCATGGTGGGAGGGTGACTTGGTGAGGCTCAGAGGCGAGGAAAAGATCTCACGTAGGCGAGAGTTGGGGCGGGACGCGGGAGGGCACCAGCTCCTTTGTGGCTGCAGTCACCCTGCCCTGTCTCGCACAGAGCACGCCGAGGCAGACACCTTCTTCTGCTTCACCAACCTCATGGCTGAGATCCGTGACAACTTCATCAAGAGCCTGGACGACTCACAATGTGGCATCACCTACAAGATGGAAAAGGTGTACTCCACCTTGAAGGATAAGGACATGGAACTCTACCTGAAGCTGGTGAGGACCCTCAGGCCACACAGGCCAGGGCAGACAGATGGAAAGGGGCAGAGGACAGCATACTTGCTGAGCATCCCAGGCCCGGGGAGAGCTCTGGCTTGCGTCTAGGGATTGAAAGTGACTGCAGCTACCAGGGTGCGCTGACCCACGTGTTGAGGCAGGACTGGGGGACCAGGTGGCAGACGCTGGGAGGCCAGGCGGGCTGGCGGTAAACGGCAGTTGATACAGTACCCATCTGCCAGGCGCAGAATGAGGCGTGTACCATACGCTGACTTAGTGCAGTCTGTTAGTCCTCTGAGAAAAGAAGGATGAACTTAAATTTGTAAAAGTTAAAAGTCATTTTAAAAACTATTGTGGTATTCTGTGTTTATTTCAGGAAACAGTTCAGTAAAAAGAAAAATTACATATAAACAGAGACAGTTGTGGGAACAAGAAAATATATGTGAACATCTTTTTATTTTTAAACAAACACGGAATTCTGTTTTTGCTGTTTGTAACATGCCTTTTCAGTTAATATGCACTGTGGCTGACTAGAGGGCACATGTCTGTTAGGAATAATTGCCTTGTGGGGTTGTATGGAGTAAATCAGTGAGATAATACATTGAACTTGCTAAGCACAAGGCCAAGCTTGCAGTAAGTGCCCAATTAGTGTGGTCTCTCTGTCTCTAATTTGTACAGTGTTTTAAAAGAACCAGAGTGCTCATTTATAATCCTAGAGAGCTTATATAAAAGTTTGGGTTTATGGCTTCTCTTCAAAAATCAGAAGGTCTAACAACATTGGCTGGCAGCAGGCAGCAGCTGCCCCTTGACCCGAGCGAGGCTCTGAAGGTGGCCTGGTGCCACCCCCCTTAGTGTGCCTGGCACTCACACCTGGCTGCTGCCACCTGGTTAGGTCCTGGGCATGCTGCTTCTCTGAATTCATATCTAAGGCTGCAGGTGTCGCGTGGCAACAAGCCCACACGGATTCTTGCACCTGCCCTGTGCCTCTGTCTCCCCAGCAGGAGCAGAACATCAAGCCCCAGTTCTTTGCCTTCCGCTGGCTGACCCTGCTGCTGTCCCAGGAGTTCTTGCTGCCTGACGTCATCCGTATCTGGGACTCCCTCTTTGCTGATGACAACCGCTTTGACTTCCTCCTCCTCGTCTGCTGCGCCATGCTCATGTGAGTGTGGCCATGAGCAGAGGGGTGAGTGGGGGGCTGCTCTCAGCAGGCTGGAGGGAGCCTCTGGGATCCCCGGGCGAGTGTCAAACCAGACTCACAGCGGGAAGGGGCCCAGCGGGGCCTGCAGTCACAGTGGCCCAGGGTCCCAGCGCTTTTGCTGCTTGTTTTCTTTAGACTGATCCGGGAGCAGTTGCTGGAAGGGGACTTCACCATAAACATGCGGCTCCTTCAGGTAATAGAGTTTGGAGGGGCAAGTTCAAGGCTTAGCCATGAGGCAGACACAGGCCCCCACCCCATGCCAGCTGCTGTGACAGGCTGGAGTCAGGAATAGTAGAGTGTAGCAGGGCTTAGGAGTCCACACCCACGAGGCAGATCTGGGTTTGGATCTGGGTTTGAATCCGGCTTTGCCACTGACCTTGACTGTGGGGTGGCCTTGACTGAATGATGGCCTCTCTGAACTCAGTGCTCTAAGTAAGTTAATATACTGGGACACAGCGGCGTCCCATATGTGGTAATCCTCATTGGTAGTCATGCTCGGACCTGGGGCAGGAAAGTGTGGGGCTTAGTGGTTAAGAACATGGGCTTAAGGGTCAGACAGCATTGGGTTCACATCCTTGTTCTGCTATGCGAGTCATGTGACCTGAGCTAAGTAACAGCCTCTCTACGCCTCAGTTGCTTCACTAACACCTCTCCTGGGGTTGGTTTTCAATAGCTTCATTGACTACATTGGTAAAATAGGCATAATCACAGTAACCCCCTCACTGGGCTTTTGAGGTGCCCCAGTGAGCTAATGTATGGACAGGGTCCATCCCAGTGCCAGGCAGGGAGAGGTGAGGCAGGGTGGTCTGTCCTGGTTCTAAGGAAGGGCTGTGAGACCCTTTGGGCGGTGCTAATTGGTTAGTTACATGAGTGCTGCAGTGAGTGTCACATTAGCTGTGTGGGGGTTAGGGCAGAATGGTGGTGTCTGGTACCTGCGGTCCCTACCCCTGGTGACAGGTCCCAGTGGGAAGGGCACAGGTGTGGCAGAAGTGGTGAAGGGTGAGATGACTTCAGAGGCATATTTTGGCCTTTCCCATGCCCAGGATTACCCCATTACAGATGTCTGCCAGATCCTACAGAAAGCCAAGGAACTCCAGGACTCAAAGTAACCTGGTGGCACCAGGTCCAGGTTTGGGAGAGAAGCCACCGATCCCCGTGTCCTGGCTTCTGGGACACGCAGAAGCCTGTGGGATCCCAGCCCAAGGAGACGCTGCAGGACTGGCCTGCTCCAGACCTTCTCACCTGGCTCCCTCCCCCTATGCCGCTCCCACGGGGGACACACTGTGCCATGCTCCTTCTCACCACCAAGCCCTCTCCACTCTTCAGCCCTGGGACCCTTTGCCAAGGCTGCTGAGCAAGGCTGGAGCTCCTGAAGTTGTTTCCTGGGGCTGGGGCAGATTGGGGGCACTTGGGGCTGGCAAAGGTCTCTTCCCGCCTCTGCTCTGCTTGCCCCTTTCCTCTCCTGCTCTGGTTGCGGGGAGGTGCTTGCAAATGAGCCAGAAACAGCTTCTTCTGGGGGTTGGTGCTTAGGCTTCTCCATGGGGCTAGTGACACTGTGAGGGAGCTAAGACGCTGCCAAGGCCAGGCCCAGGTCACACCCTCTGTCCCTCTCACGGAGTGTGTGTGTGTCTCTTCATCCCCCAGGTGTGTGTCTGTGTATCTGTCAGTATGGATGTGAGGTAGGGAAGGGTGTCTTTGAATCCCTGTAGGTCTCTGCATCTCTCTGCCTTTGTCTCCCTCCACCTTTCACAGAGGCTGTGTGTGACGCTGTCTGCTCCTCTCTCGTTTTCCCTCTGCCCTTCTCTCTTGGGGTGCCTTATCCCCAGCCTCCTCCCCTTGTCCCCTCCACACTTGTGAACCCCACAGACAGAATGAAGAGCCTGGCTCAGCAAAGCTGGAGGTCAACCTTGGCCTTTGCACCCTGTTCCCATCCCCCAGCCCTAGGCTCCCAGGTTGCTCAGACTGGGAGGCCACAGTGCCTCTCTACAGGGCCTGAACCTGCTCTCCACCACAGAAATCCTGGAAAACAAAAGCTGCTGAGAAATGAAGGCCCATGATGCTTTGAGCCTCTTACCCTCCTTTCTGCCCAGGATGGAGGAGGGAGAAGAGGGAGAGCAGGGTCTTCTGGAGATTTCCCCAAAAAAGGGCATTAAGGTGATGCTGTATCAGAGGTTGGGATCCAAGTGCTTCAGTAGTCATTCCCATAGCTTCCAGGGCCCAGCCCAGGGTGGGTGAGTCCCATGAAGGGCAAATGGGACCAAAGGGAGCCTCCGTAGGTCCAGGGGAGCCCTGTCTGCCCCTGAGCAGGCTGAAGGAGGTGCTGGCCCATCTCTGGTCACCCCCTTGGGCTGTTCTCAGGATTTGGGGCAGGTGTACTTGCAGCAGGACCAGCTGGCCACTTCTGCTGCTGGGCAGTGGGAGAGCAGGCTTATTCTAATCAAGTCCCCTCCCTCCTTTTGTGAGGAGGCAGGTGGTTTGGGGCTGGAAGGCTGGGTAATGTGTAATAAATAGCAAGGGTCCTCATTTCCTCAGACTGGCTGGTAGGAGCCCTGTTGCTCCCACAGCCTCCCTGAGTCTGGCAGCCAGGACTTCTGCTGCCCACGCGGGCCAGGCTGTGGGCCAGAAACAGCTTCTCCCAGGTGACTCCTTTACCAGCCTGTCCCTTGGATGCTGTGGGATTTTCTGCACTTGCCTTTTTGCCTCCTCTCCTAACACAGTTTTTGGGAGATTTTTTACTATTTATTCAGACGCCTGGTTATTTATTGCAGATTGGCAAGTGTTTGGTTTGGGGATGAAGGTGGGGGGGCTGGGAAGGTAGAAAGGAGTTGGGGACACAGTCCTCCTGACTTTCTGAAGTCAGACTCAACATCCTCCTCCCTCTGGGACCTTCCTGGTTCTCTAGCAGGTCCTGGCTGGGAGGGCCCTGAGCTCTGTCAGGGAGACTCAGACCCCTGCACGGGGCAGACACACACTGCTTCCCACAAGCCTGGCCCACCTTCTTCCTAGAACTTGTCAGCTGGTTGTTCATTTCCACGTGGATCCCTTCACAGCCTGAGGCTTGGGCCATAGCCTGGGACCCAGCAGACACTGCCCAGGATACCTGATGCATTCCCTCTCGCCTGTCCCCCTGCCTTCCCTTTTGGGGTTGTACTACTTGAATCACTGCGTCCGATTTGCCTCAGTGACAGGCCTGAGTCCAGTGCCCTCTCCTTGATTTTGGGATGAAGGCCAACAGCACATGTCCAGGTTAGGCTGAGCTCTCCAGGATACGCCCAAGGAGAGGAACTGCCCTTGGTGATTACCCCTCCCCAGACAGCGAGTGCCCAAGCTTCCTGCTTGGGAAGCTGCCCCCAGGAATTTGGACGCAGCGCATTAGGCTGTATGAAATCAGCAGGTCTCACTCCAGAGGGTCAAAATGTTAGTCTGCTTGTGTTGTTGTTTTTTTTAAAATCAGTTTTGTTCTTTGAATCAATGCTGTTGATGACAAGTCTTTAATAAACCATGTGTTCTTTGCAGTGGGCATTGGTGCTGTGATGGGTTGAAACCTTTGAGACCTCAGAGCAGGAAAAACAAGTTTGAGCTGGGATGGAGTCAGGAGGCTCTTAGAGTGGTCTAAGAGAAAGGCAGAAGATTCTTGTTGGAAGAGCTAGTTTTTTTGTTTTGTGTTTTAATTTTCTTTTAGTTTTACTGACATAAGAGCCAGTTTAACTCATTCAACTATACAATTTGCAGCTGGCGGGAGGAGGGATTGTGGACTGTGGGAAAATGCATTACATCATAACTTCACAGCAAGGGTTTTAGATGGGGAAAAAAAACCCCTGAAAATTAAAAAATGTAAATAAATCATTCCCCATAATCTGGAGAAAAATCACGGATGTTAGTCTTCACAGATGGAATTTTTGTTACGTAATTGTCTTTTTGATAGTTTTGTGTATTGTCAGTCCCCTCATTAATTGGTGAGCAAGTTGCTGTATGACTTTGAAATGTTTATAGGCTATATACTATTCTATCTAACGTGCTAAAAATGTCAGAAACCAGTCTCTGAATAATATAAATAATGCTGTGGGGAAGTTTTATGTTTGAAATATTTGCATTCCTGATTTATTTCCCAAGCTCAGTCCTCTAAATGGGTTGAAAGATATGAACCTTTTTACGGCTTTTCGTACAAAACTGCCAAGCTGCTTTCTGGAATTGCACCAGTTTCTTCTCCAACCAGCAGTTAGGATTGGCTGCCTGCATCCTTGTTCTCACTCTCGGCAATCTAATAGAATTTTTGGCTTGTAGTGTGATGGTTAGGATAGGCTCCAGTGTCAGACACCTCTGGTGTCTTGTCCTTATTCTGCCAATTAGGAGCGCCTTTTCTGAGCTCTTGAGGATTAAATGAAGTAATCCAAGCGCTTCAGACCAGTACTTGCCACTTCCTCGGCGCTCATTAAGTGGGATCTCCGCCCGGGCGCAGAACAGGAGGCGGAGCGGAGCCGGGCATGGCAGCGGCCAATCACAAGCCAAAGCGGCGGTGCCACGCCCCTCAGGTCCGCATCTTAAAGGGCAAAGAAAGGGCACCTGGAGGTACGTTCGGGGAGGGTCCCTACCTCCTTCGTTGGATTCCCCAGGCATCCTTTCGGATCCTTTGGGAGTGATAGGGACTGAGGTTGCAGCTGCCCACGTCCCCACCCGGCCCCATCCCCCCGGTGGTTCCCCTCAGGCCCGCGCGGCCCCTTTAAGCGTCCCGGGTCGCACGCGGGAGGCCGCGGCGTTTCCTTGGCACGCCGGGGCGCCTTCCATTCGCGTAGCGGTCGCACTCTCCAGTCATGCGGGCGCTGCGGGCCGGCCTGACCCTGGCGCTGGGCGCAGGGTTGGGCGCGGCTGCCGAAGGCTGGCGGCGGCAGCGGGCAGAAGCACGGCCGGCGCCGGGGCTGCTGGGCCGGTTGCCCGTGCTGCCCGTCGCGGCGGCGGCCGAACTGCCCGCCGTGCCTGTCGTACCCGGGGCCCCGGCGGGAGGCGGCCCTGGTGAGCTAGCCAAGTACGGGCTGCCCGGGCTGGCACAGCTCAAGAGCCGCGAGTCGTACGTGCTGTGCTACGACCCGCGCACCCGCGGCGCGCTCTGGGTGGTGGAGCAGCTGCGCCACGAGCGGCTCCGCGGCGACGGCGACCGCCGCTCGTGCGACTTCCGCGAGGACGACTCGGTACATGCGTACCACCGCGCCACTAATGCCGACTACCGCGGCAGCGGCTTTGACCGCGGCCACTTGGCCGCCGCTGCCAACCACCGCTGGAGCCAGAAGGCCATGGACGACACCTTCTACCTGAGCAACGTCGCGCCCCAGGTAGCGCCTGCGTCCCCGGCCCGGTGGCAGAAGGCGAGGCCAGCCCCTCACCCCATGGAGCCTCGGTTTGCTTTTTTGCAGAATGGGGAAGCTGAGTGTGCGCGCCAAGTCAGGTGCTTGCTAATTACACTGCGCTCCCTAATCGGAAGGGGGGGAGCCCTGGGCTCAGAGCATCCGCTTGGCAGTCTGACCCTAACTGGGGACCCCTGGGCTGCTTTTCTCATCTGTAAAATGGGGATATTACTTTCATTCGCCTACATTTTGCGGTAGCGCTGAGATCCGGAGCATATAAAGTACTGAGCACACTGCCTGGCCCACAGCAAGTATTCGATAAATATTTGCAATAATGAGGGAACAGGATCAGAGATGCAAAGTGGCCCACTGTCACACATCGGGAGGAGACCCAGTCTGTCTGTCTAGAGGACCCTGAGCCTTCAGACATTGCCCTACCCTGCCTGCCTTCTAGGAGTAAAAGGAAAGAGACCTGCTGGCAGTGGGCTAGTAATAGCAGTCACTGTGCACCCTGAGCAAGCCGCCCTACCTCTAGCCCTGTTCCTACCAGGGCCTGGCATCCACTGGAAGATTGATGTGGGGCCCTGGGTGAACCCCGTGGGGTCCAAGCCAATGACCCTCTCCCACCGGTACAGTCCCTGACCCATTTTACTAGACACTGTACTGAGGACCAGAGAACTCAAGTGATGGAGTCTGGAGCAGATTCATGCCGGTCCCAGCTGGGCTCTGCATGTGGTTCAGACTGGGGAAAGGATGCAAGGTGATTGGGAGAGCTGGCCTTCCCATGAGCCCTGGGGGTAGGGTCAGTGGCAGGCCTGTTTGAAAGATGCACTGGTTTCCTTAGTTAGGCTCTTTGGAGCTGGCAAATGGCTTTGAGACCTGGGATGCTAGTCCTTTCATTCTAGGTGGGGGTGGCTAGCACCCTCTTGAGCTGTTTGAGCTCCACCTTCATGGCCAGATAACCTAAAGGAGTGACTCATTCCTTGAACCAGTTTCCTCTGCATGCTTGTTACCCACGCCTTGCTGGAATCTCCTGGCTTTGTGCTAGTGACCACCCCACAGGGCCAGGGCCTCTGATAGGGGAAGGGTCCCAACCAGTCTCTGAGCCCCCTCTCTCCTCCTCCCAGGTGCCCCACCTCAACCAAAATGCCTGGAACAACCTGGAGAAGTACAGCCGGAGCTTGACCCGCACCTACCAAAATGTCTATGTCTGCACAGGGCCGCTCTTCCTGCCCAGGTAAGGCTAGAACTGGGGGGCCTGGGGACGCCAGGGCCTCCTACTCACCCCATGCAAGCTTGTCCCACCAGGCTCTGGGTCAACACGGCCAGGTCACTAGTCATCTGGTTTCTTGGCAAGTCTGTCCATTCCCTGCCTCAGGCCCCTGAATTCCACTTCTACAGCCATAGCCCTACGGGGTATCCCCCAGACCATGTCTCCTGCATCTGCCCTTGCTCCTCTCCTATGTCACCTCTTGGCACACCACCCAGCCAAACGTGTTCCGCCCAGACAGAAACCCTTGCACCAGGTTCTCGCCTTCAGGCTTCTCTGCATGGAGCAACCCCCACCTCCCTGACCCTGAGCCTTCTCTCTTGTCCCTCTGCAGCCCCGCCTTCCAGGTAGAAGGGACTGAGCATCCTCTGGGCATGCTCAGTGACTTTCTGGCCAGCTGAAGACTCGGATGAGTGAAGCCATAGGTTGTGGCGAAGTAGCTGGCTCTCAAGTCCACAGGCTGGGTTATCACCTAGTCTCTGGGTGCCTTGAGCAAATGACCTCAACACCCTCTCCCATGAAATGGGTATAATACCTGTTACCTACCTTGTGGTTGTTTAGGGCCAGAGTGGGATGGTGGTTGTCACCATAAGGGCTCAGCATGGCCTGGCTGAGGCACTGATACACTTTAATGAACCAGTGCCCGCTACGGCTGCTGAAGTGGAGCAGACGGCTGAGGGTTAGCCCGGAAGTCACCCAACAGCAATCTGGGCACTTGGTACGCACAGGTACTGGGAATGCAGCTGTCATAGCTGGCCTATTTGGTGCTCACTCTCCACAGGGAGGGATAGGCAGTCATCAAGTGTCGGCATGGGTGAATATGAATATTTAGAAGGCCAGATTCTTTCAGCATTTATTGCCATCACCCACTGCCTGACCCAGTGTTGGGCACGAGGACAACAGGGTAAGAGTGAGTCTCTACCCTGCAGGGAGCGCCCCGGCTCCTGGGGGAGCCAAGGGCACAGAAGCCCCATGCAGAGGGGGTGGTCCTGCATGAACTGGAGGTGAGGTCAGGAAATGCTTCCTGGTGGTGACAGCCTTGGGTCTGACCAGACTCGCTGGGAGCCCTGAAAAGCCATGTGTGCCTGGGTTTGCCTGCAGGACGGAGGCTGATGGCAAGTCCTACGTGAAGTACCAGGTGATCGGCAAGAACCATGTGGCAGTGCCCACCCACTTCTTCAAGGTGCTGATCCTGGAGGCAGGAGGTGGGCAAATTGAACTCCACTCCTATGTGATGCCCAACGCGCCTGTGGATGAGGCAATCCCGCTGGAGCGCTTCCTGGTGCCCATCGAGAGCATTGAGCGGGCCTCAGGGCTGCTGTTTGTGCCAAATATCCTGGCGCGGGCGGGCAGCCTCAAGGCCATCACTGCAGGTAGCAAGTGAAGGCGACAGCCCAGCCAGACTGAGGGTGTGGGGACTGGGTTGCATTAAAGGTGGTTATTTTTGGAGACAAGTCTTGGCTATGTTTGTCCCAGGTGACCCTCCGGAACCTCTGGCTTCACCGCTTCTTCACTGTCTTGGGCCTGACAGAGCCTTTCATTGGGCCGGGTACCTGCCTGGGTGAGACCAGGCTGTAGGGCAGCCAGGGAGATGAGGATGGCTTCCTGGAAGAGAAATACAGCAACAGGCTGAGGCCTGGGAGGCTGGCAGGTGCTCCAGCTCAGAGCCTGTCCTCAGTGCCTGACTGCGCAGGACCTAGCTCTTCGGGATATGCTGCCCTCAGCAGGGCCCTGCGGAGGTTAAGGACAGGCATAGTGTCCTCATGCCGATCTGCCACTGGCTGGCTGCATGCCCTGCCAGAGAAGGGCCTCACCTCCCTCCCCCTCTGCAAAATGGGAATGATCAGGGGTATGATGGGAATAATACCTGCCTGTCAGGTCAGGGGAGGTGATAGGCAGGAAGTTTTCAGCCCTTGGTACAGGTACTGGATGGGTGGGAACTGGGGTTCCTGTTGGGAGGGTGTGGCTGGCAGGCTTGCAGCACCAGGCCCCAGCAGGGCCCTCAGGGACAGGTGGACTGAGGCAGTCCACCTGTTTAGTCTGATGGAAGCAATGGAGCCTCCCCCAGGAAAATGTCCACAGGCACAGCGTTCTGTGCTGAGCTTAGTTTAGGAGTGGGGCCAGATTCTTTGGATGCCCAGGACTAAGGTTCTTAGCTAGATGCATCCTGGGCCCCAAGGGGAGGGCTGCCCTGCCCACCATGGTCACACAGGAAGTGGAACACTGAGCATACAGCGAAGGAAACGGAAGCCCAGAGAAGGGGTGGGTGGGGTCTCCTGGGTCATCCAGTCTGGGAGCAGCTGGACGGGCACCGGCACCCAGGAGTTTTGACTCCCAGGTCACTCATAGCCTGGCCTGGTCGTAAGTCTGTGGTGGTGAGGTCAAGGGGTGAGGAGACCCTCAGGGTAGCCTTGGGCAGGAAGTGACAGGGAGAGAGGTGCAGCTCCCTTTGGATAGACCCCGAGGCCCTGGCTGGTGGCTAATCCTCAGGAACAGCGGGCTGGAGGCAGGTGGGCTCACCTCTGTGCGGATGGAACGGCTGCCCTGGCTGGGGCAAGTGTTGACGTACAGATCGAAGAGGACACTGGGTTCAGCCACCTCCAGGTTGGGGTCAGCATCCACTCCAGCTTCCAGCCCCTGGAGGCCTCCGAATACCACGAGAGCGTGCCTGGCACCCATAGGTGGGGGATCACTGACTACTCATCAAGGCCACACTGAAAGCAGCCCCCAGAGCTCTCAGCACCCCCACACAATACAGGCCCAGTCTGTACAGCTTTGCCCCCACCAGACTGGTCCCCTGCTGTGTTCCTCCTCCCCCAGCCCCTGCCCTAGGTTGTACCCACCTGAAACTGGGCAGCTGGGCAGAGGTCACGTCTGAGCCTCGCTCTGATGTCCCGATGGTCAGGTCATACCCATCCTGGAAGGGGGCCTCAGCAAACACAGCACCTGGGGGTGAAGCCAGCTCAGCAGGGGTCTGGCTTTCCACAAGCCACAGCTGCTTGGCTGTGTATATGTATACTGGGTGGGGTGGGGTGTGGAGGAGAGGGGGACTCAGGTAAGGGGACCCTCCGCTGTTCCCAGGAAGTCAGAGGCTGACCAGGAAGAGACCATGCCTGTGCTAGGCTGGGGGAAACAAAGCAGAAGGTGGGCAGGAAGGAGCTCTGAGGACACTACTGCACCTTTGACTTATCTGGTCCTTCTGGCCCCTCCTCCTGCCCCCACGACAGACATTATTAATCGATCATGATACTTTTCCTCAGAAGTCCTTAACAGCATTCCAGGCAGAATACTCAGGGAGACCGAGGCCCAGAGAAGGAAAGGCAATTGCCCAAGGACACAGCAAATTGGTAGGACAAGGACTCTAGTCTGACTTGGTCAGGCAAGGCTCTCTGTAGCCTCCTACACAGAGATGACTTACTGAGGCAGGAGGCCAGTCGGACTGTGTAACCCCAGTAGAGACCAGCTTTGGTGCGAGGGTCTTGTGACGACACGACTTTTCCTCGGTAGGTCTTGCTCTCTGGAGGGGAAGCAGAGAGGCTGTGAAGACAGGGCGAGGGGACAAGGAAGTGGAAGGAGGAAGCTCTGAGCCCTCAGGCTGGGGAAGCTTTCAGATACCTGGGAGCTGCTCCTGGTTCAGTCGCACAGTCACCCGAAGTCCAGGTTCCAAGTTCTTGTCAATCTTCACCTCCTAGGGAGAAGCCAGGAATGGGTGCTGTTGCCCACAGGACCAGCAGGGGTCACTGCTCTCCCAGATGTGGGGGATCTGTGGGGCCTGCAAGAGACCTAAGGGGTTCAGGTCAACCTTAGTCCTCCTCCCTGGGCCAGATCTGCAAAACGACTACCACAAGACTGGTCAAAAATGAATGCTCTGTCAGGAGGGGGATGGAGAGGGTGGCCGGTTAGCTCAGCTGGTTAGAGCGTGGTTAAAGTGATCCCTGCATGGACCACTATGAGCTGTGCTCCTCTTAAAACAAAACGAAACAAAAAAACATAAAAAATGAATGCTCTGGGGCTCGCGCAGAATAGGAAGTAAAGATTTTGTGATTAGATGAAACCCGTTTTCTACATTTTGGTGGCTATGCCACTTGCTAGCTATAGGAGTTTGAGGGGCTCGCTTAACCTCTCTGAGCCTGTTTCCTCATCTGTCTCAGAAAACTTTCCATAAACAATAGCTACTGTTGTTACACTGCACAGGGCCTGGCATGAAGTAAATGCTTAATACATGGGAGCTGTGATGAATAACCATGGATATTTGTGTTTTGTTCCAATTGTGAATTCAAGATAGGGCACTGCACTTTTTTTTCCCTTTTGAGGAAAAAAATGCTTTTCTCCATTTGTCTGCGTCTGGGTCATCCTGTTCTGCTTTTAGCCAGTGATTTCTGGTCTGTTCTTTTTGAGGGTAGGGGACCCCACATATTTACACGTCTCTGCCTCTGACTCTAGGAGACTTGAGAGTAAACAGGGAGCAAATGAATGGTCCAACCCCCAGCATAGCTCTGCATCCCACTGGAGCAGCCCAGAGTGATTTTCAACTTGGCTTTGCAAGGTTTTGTTTTGTTTTTAGCATGAGGACCATCTGTTGATTTGCTTTAAAACAAACAAAAAACAGTAAATTTGCTCCTGGGTTTATCTACTGAGCCCCATTTTAGGCACTTCTCTGGGCCAAATCAGCATCAGGGGGGGGCTGGCGGGCAGAGATGCCTGGGTCGCCGGCTCCCCACTCACACGCGCCACCCGCCCTCCATAGTCAGGGCACGTCTGGGAAGTATGTCCTGACCCAGCCTCCAATCCCTACCTTCTTCATGCCACAGTTGACAAAGGAGCCGTGGCCTGGCCGGGTGGGCCGGTCCACCACAATGCCTTCTCGGAACTCAGATTCCTCATCCTGACGCATGTGGTGAGGGCTGTCCAGGGGGTTCAGGAGACCTGTGGGTGAGGAGGGGCCAGGAGGAGTCTGGGAGGTGCAAAAGCACATGGGCTGTGGCAGGAACCCTGGACCGAAGTCCAGCTCTGCCACTGACCTGCTGCTTGCCAACAGGAACAGGCCTTGCCCTGAAATGGGGGTCACGGCCCCCAGCCTCACCTGCAAACTGTAGATCCTGGTGCTTGGGGAAGAACGCCTTTCTTAGGTACCTAGTAAAGAACACAGATCTCAGGAAGTTCTCAGGGAGGCCACCTCCTGTCTGATCCCCACCTCAACCTCCCCTCCCTCATGCTCAGGGACGTCTGCCCTTCACTCCCTTACTGTGGACACTCCAGGTACTGCAGGATCCGGGCCAGCTGTACGCATGCCTGCCCCTTCTTGCCGACTCCCTTGAATTCCCCTTCCACAGTCCTGGAGAGAGAAAGATAGGGCTCAGGGGTCTACTGTGTTCCCTTCAAGAACTCGTCCACCCAGTCTGACCTCTGCAGTGCCCTGCTTTGCAACTCTACCCACCAGGGTTACAATGGGGGCATTTCAGGCAGGGTTGTCAGCTCAGGCAAGCTCAAGCCAATCCTGACTGCCCCTCCCTTCTCCCTGAGCCCTGGTACTCTGTAGGATGGCCCCTCACTTGGCATCTTGGCCCTCTTCATCGAACACCACAATCTCATCCACACAGAAGATGGTGCAGGCTCTGGCAATCTGGCCAGCCAGGTAGGTGCGAAGCTCGGGTGACTGGGCGTTGTCGAGAATGGAGCCCGGCAGGGCCACGCTCAAGGTGTAGGGCCGCCCTAGGCAGTGGAGGGGTGTTCATAGTCAGTCTGAGAGGCCAAGCCCATGCTCTCCCCTCTTTCCTCTGTCCCCAGGGCCCAGAGTTAGAGATTTCCTACTGGGAGGAACTTTGAGATTAGCAAAATAGATCCATTGCCCTTCTCTGGGCCTCAGTCTCCCCAGGAGGAAAATAGACTCAGTGGTCTCCAAGGCTCCCATGAGCAGGGCAGATCACCAGGCAAGGCTGGGGAGTGGTGAGAGGCACTGGCCTAGGTTCACATCTTGGTTCCGCCCCTTACTGCCTCAGTTCTCCAGCTGTCAAATGGGGATAATTATGAGAGGTATTATCTATTATTTGTGCTTTTAATGTGTGCACAATTACACAATAACTCTAGGAAGCAGGTACTACCATGATCCCCCTCAGAGGTGGGGAATCTGTGAACCAGAGAGGTCAAATACATGGCCCAAGATCACACAAAAGGCAGGACAGCGGAGACTGGGTTCAGGCTGTCGGACTCTAGAGGGACCACCACATTCCCTCCCATAGTCGTCCAAACGGAGCCACAGGAGGTAACGCCCATAAAGGGCTTCCCTGGTGTCTGAGACAGCTGACATGCTCCGTTGCTATCCCCACTGTCACCATCATCACTGGTAACCACTGGGCTTACAGGGTACCACAGGGCCCCTTGACTCTCCAGAGCTTCAGGTCTGGCTGAGGAGAAAAGATACAATTTGTCAGGGCAGGTCCGGATGTACTGATGTGGAAGGACATCCAGGACAGTGTGGGGTGAGAAAAACCAGGTCCAGAAGCATGCGGATAAAGTGGTCTCACTTTTATAAAACTGTATCTATACATCTTACATGTGTTTAAGGGTGTATAACATATTGTCTGGAGAAACTTTCACTGCAGAAAGTTTGCTGGGACTTTTCCTTTCTTCTTCATAGTTTTCTACTGTTTGGGAGTTTTGTTCTGATCATGGATTATTTAATGAGAGAAAGAGGCACTCTCTTATTGTGAAATCAGAGTAATTAAATGAAAAATGAAATTAAAGCACACATAAAGTGCTCAATAAAAAGGTAAAAATAACTCATTATGATGAATTTCTGAAGGCATAAAGTTATGATATGTGATGCTTACCCTCCATAAGCTTGAAATCTACCTAAGTAGGAGGTTAAGACTCAGTTTTCTGGACCCACTGGTCTCTGAGGTCCCTTGCAACTATGACATTCTCTGCCCTGCCCAGGACCCAGGCTGCTCACCTCGGTCCTCCTTTTGTGCAGCTGCCTCCTCCTCTTCCTGGTGCTTTGTCTGTTCCTCCTGCACCCGCTGCCGCTCCAGTTTTTTCATCATCTTAAGATCCTTCCACTTCTTTTTCTCCTCTTTCTCTGGATTAGAGGACATCCCAATTGGTGGAGAGGGACTTGGAGCAGTCCAGGAGATGGTGCCCTCTCAGTAGGATCAGGGTTCCCACTCAGTAGGGAGTGCTGCCGGATGAGCAGCCAGAGGAGGCTCCCGGAGCTTCTAACCCCTTCCTCCCACTTGGGGTGCTGTACCCCCAGAAGGGACAAACTTTGTGGCTTTCTGGAGTGGTCTTGGGAAAGATGAGCACAGGCACTGTCCTCCACCCCCAGCCCTTACTTACTCTGTTGCTTCCATTTTCGCCACTCGACCCTTTGGCCATGTTCACCCTGGAGGAGTGGGCAAAGATATAGGAGTGAGGCTAAATGGTCACACCTGAGAGGGGGTCCCACTTGCTGCTAGGAACACTCATACACTGCTGCCCCAAAAAGAGAGTCCGGAGGGCAGGGACCTGCTGCACCCCAGTGCCTGGGACCAGGCCTGGCACACAGTAAGCACTCAATAAATTGTTGAATTAGTTCCCACTGGAGAGGAGAGGAAACTGAAGCTCAAGGGGACAGGACCTACCCACTATCACCCTGGGAGTCATTAGAGATACGCTACGAAAGGGATCGGAATTGTGAGCACGATCCCACCTCCTGAATCCAGGCCCCGGCCAGAGTAGCCACAAAGGGCTCCGACAATGGGTTCTCTGGCTCGGACCCCCGCTCCCACCTCCGGTTCTCATCCGGGCAGGTGGGCACGCGGCCAAGAGCATGCGACGCCTTGGGGCTTCCGGTCTCGGATCAACGAGAACCAGGGAGAGGGAGGCGCGGCCTGACCGCAGCACGGGCCCCCAAGCGGTTGGTTCTCACGCCCCCTCCCACTGTCCAGCACTGGGCGGGGTGGGGGGTGGGGTGGTGGTCCCACCTCCTGCCACCTACCGGGCCGCAGGGCCGCTTCTTCACACGCTCCGCCATGTTCGGGGCACACCGTCGGACACGCCTTGCCAATCAGACTCACCCCTTCCGGCCACACCTCTCCCGAGTCGTCCAATCGGAGGCAAAGGCTCGCGGGGGCGTGGCCTAGGCTCCCAGAGGCTGCGGGAGAGCTTAGGCTGGGCTGGGCTTGGAGGGGTGGAAGCATCCCCGCGGAGGTGGGCGGAGCTCGTCACCCGCCTGGGTGTTGGAGTCCCCCGCCTATCGGGTCTTGTCCTGGACCCCAGGACAACTGGAGAGCCGCTCTCCTGCTCCGGGGAGACACTCAAACCTCAGTTTGGTTTTATAGATGGGGACTCTGTGGCCCAGAGCTGGAGTGTGATTCAGAGCTGGAAATGACCATGGAGATAATTTAATCCAATTCTCATAGATTCATTTATTTACTCTCTCTTTTAATGAACAGACTATTTTTTAGAGCACATTTTGGCTTAGCAAAAATTGGGCAGATAGTGCGGAGAGGTTCCATTAGCCCCTCTCCCCCGCTCAGTTACCCTATTGTTAACATCTTGTGTGTACATTTCTTAACATTGATGAATCAGTATTGATAACCATTATTAACTAAAGCCTATAGTTTACATCAGGGTTCACTCTGTATGTTGTATATTCTATGGGTTTTGAAAAATGCATAATTTCATGTATCTACCATTACGGTATCATACAGAATAGTTTCACTGCTCTAAAAATCTTCCATGCTCCCTCTACCCCTTTCCAAACCCTTGGCAACCACTGATCTTTACTGTCTCCATGGTTTTGCCTTTTTCCAGAATGTCATATAGTTGGAATCAGTATGGAGCCTTTTCAGACTCCCTTCTTTCATTAAACAATATGCATTTAAGTTTCCTCCATGTCATCTCGTGGCTTGATAGCTAATTTCTTTTTATTGCCGGATGCTATTCCTTTGTATGGATATGCCACAGTCTGCTTCTCCATTCACCTTTTGAAGGACATGTGGTTGCTTTCAGTTTTGGGCAATTATGAATAAAGCTGCTATAAACATTCATGTGTGACATGAATTTTCAGCTCATTTGGGTAAATAGCTAGGAGCCTGGCTGCTGGATCTTATAGTATGACGATGTTTAGCTTTGTAAGGAACTTGCAAACTGTCTTTGCCAGTTTTGCATTCCTGCCAGCAATGAATGAGATATGCTTTCTTTTTTAATTAATACATTTGAGTCAATATTCATTCAATCAAGGAATATTTATTGAGCAGGGCCTATTTTGAGGCAGGAATTCCCTGTGCTAACCTCCAGGGACACAATGGTAAGCAAAAGCAGACACTGATCTGGAGCTTACAACCTACTAGAGATTAATTTCTAAGTCCATGTTTGTGTTAACATCACAAGAGTTGTGTTACTTCATCATTCACCCGCCCCCCCATGTGAGTGAAAAGGCAAGGTCGTGTATGTTTCTAAGGGAAGATCTACCATCTCGAGCTGGCTGAGGTTACTCAGTCTAAGATCTGGAATCTCTGTAGAGTCACAGATTTGAGTTATAGACAGGTTCTGGATTAGTTCGTAAGACACAGAACCTATGGTCAGGGTGGTTCTCCCTGTGAAATCTATGGGTTTACCCACAGGACTTTCTTTATGATCAGGCTATGTGTAGTATGGCAAGGGGCTCCAAGCCTGAGCCTCTGAGCTGGTATTTTTTTGTTTCACAATCTTGACTTTGGAACAGTGGTAGTAGTACTAAGTCAAGATTTGGAAGGTGAGGGAGGGCAGTGTCCTACATCATAGCACCAAATATGTTCCAGTAGCAACTCTGACATCAAGTGTGTCCTCCACTTCAATTCAGACAATAACTACATGGAGTTAGCACAGACCCCATAGCTTAAGGGCTCCATTCCACAAGGCTGCCTCCCACTTCAGATGCCAGCTATAAGTGGGGTTCCCAGGCTACCCACCCTTCTGCCTGGTTCACTATAAATTCGGGCATTTCCATGATCCCCTTCAGGTTCAATAATTTGCTAAAATGATCCACAACACTCAGGAAAGTGCTATACTTNGGATGGCAACTGGACTTGGAGCTGAGCTAGCTGTGCCCCCCACAACTAAGACTGAGAACAACTTGACTGTTCCCCTTCCCCGATTCCCCAACACTGTTTCCCTTCCCCAATTCCCCAATAAAATCTTTAAAAAATAAAAAGGAACAGACGCACTGATCCATGCTACCACTTGGATGAACCTCAAAAACATTATACCAAGTGAGAGAAGCCAGACACAAAAGGTCACATATGGTATGATTATTTTCCTAGGATGTGTTCAGAATAGGCAAATCCATAGATCAGAAAGCAGATTAGTTACCAGGAAATGGGAGGAAGGGAGGAATGTGGAATGTTTACTTATGAATCTGGGTTGTTTCCCTGGAGTGATGAAAAAGTTTGAAACTAGAGAGGTGGTGGTTGTACAACATTGTGAATATACTAAATGTCACCGATCTGTACGCTTCACCCTTTTCGTCCGAACCACTTTCATCCATCATTTATGTCGATAAATCTGCCTTCACTAAGTTTCTCTGGATGCATATCTAGAGTTTCTGGGACAGTGAATAGCTGTGGTGTCCACATTCCTACAGTCAGCTATTTCTTTTATCACTTCTTTTATGTTTGATTCAAATTTCACTCTCAGTGTGATTGCTTTGCATTTCTTTGTGGCACTTTCATCTTTGTTGGCCCACCCTCTCTTTTGATGATCTGTTTTTGTAAAATGTCACATGGGTTTATCTCTGGGAGACAAGAGGCAACACAACTGCATGCTTTGCTGTCTGGATAGGAACTGAATAACATGCACGGTGAACAATCAATGACAGGCTTTGAAAGCAGCAATGTGGTTGGTCACTGACCATTATGCACATCTGTTATTCCATAGAGATTTGTGGGCTGAAGAGCCAGCGACAAAGTTCACACTTGAGGTAATTACTCATAAATATAATGTGGCAATATAACATGGCAACTGAAATTTGTACCGTGTTATTGAGGGACTGGTTTCCATTGATACACAAACATTAAAACTTACTTTAAATGGTAGTACCTGAAACTCGTTTCTATCAATACAAAGCAAGGACTGCTTAATTACGTATGTTTGTGTATTAGGATGTTTCCAGGGACACCATCAAATTATTAACAGTGGCTTTCTCTGAGAAGGGTTGGGGTCATATAAATTTCTATACAGTTTGATTTTTTTTTTTTAAATAAGGCTGTAAAGCTCTGGAATCAGACAGGTCTTGGGCTGAAGCCATTTACCAGCTGTGTGACTTCTGGCAAATGACTAAACCTTCCTGGGAATAATTTCTAAAATGAAAATGATAGGACCTGCCTCATAGGGCTGTAGTGAGAAGTCAGTGAGATAACACATGAAATCACGTAGCATGGTGGCTGAGTGATTGATTGTTCAACAAATGTCATCATCATTATTATTACTTAAAAATGAGTCCATGGAAGGGGCCGGCCGAGTGGCTCAGTTGGTTAAGAGCTCGCTCAAGAGTTTGAGCTCTGAGCAACAGCGGTTCAATTCCTGGCCNCTGCTTATCATAGTAAGAGATCCACACCAGTCCAGGAGTGCAGGGCTGGTTAATTAAACTGTGGCACATCTAGGCAATGGAATACTATGTAGCCGTTAAAAAGAACGAGGCTATTCTGACACGGAGATTGTCCCTGACATGCTGTTTAGTGAAATATACAAGTTACAGAATGTTATTTATAGTATGAGTCCATTTGTGTTAAAAAATACAAATCTCACATGTAGGTATAGATGCATATGTGTGTGTGTGTGTGTGTGTGTGTGTGTGTGTGTGTGTATTTATACAAGCATTTTAAAAAGTTAATAGCTTAACAATCTAAACACTCAGCCAAGTAGCAAACTGTTGGCAGTAGTTATCTCTGGATGGTGGCATTGGAAAGAATGTCCCTCTTGGCAATTCTGAGGCATACTAACATTTAAGAGCCGTTGCTCTACTCCTGGGGCTGGTAAATATTTACTCTGTGGCCCTTTACAGAGAGAGCTTGAGTTTGGAGTCAAAGCAATCAGCAGCTTGTCTTTCAGGGCTTGGCTTAGGTGTCACCTCCTCCAGGAAGCCGTCCCTGACCTCTCTTTCTTCCTGCTCCCACAGTACCCCATTCTCTTCCACCACAGCATGCCAACTGCCTTTGTTTTCTGCTTTTTTTGGTTTGCCTTTACCCCAGGTCACAAGCTGTCCTAGGGACTGGAATAGAGGGTACACTCAGTGAACCCTGAATATTGCTGGACTGAAGTCCCTGGACTCTGCCCCTTCCTCGCCCAGAGAGGAGGCCTGTGTCTGGGGGCTGGAGGAGCTGGAAGACTCACAAATGCCTTGGTGTACTGGTTGAGCATGAAGTTTCCGCTGACGGCATCCCGAAAGGCTTCCACTGCGAAGTCTGGGGGCGGGAAGTCGGGGAAGCCTTGTCCCAAGTTCACGGCATCATTCTCACTGGCCAGTCTCACGAACTCCACCCTGGGCAACAAATGGAGAGTTGGCACCAGCCCACCCACCCCTCCACCCCGACCTGGACTTCGGTCCGTTTCCAGGACAGGGTGAGCGATGAACTGGGATTCTTCTAGAAAAACTGGACAACTAGCATCTGCCCTGGTCCAAAGATCAGTGTCAGAACCATGACTTGGTCCAGTACTTTGCGATTAGGTGGGCAGGGCACTGCCAATCACTGATGAGGGGCTTTCAAACTTTTCAACTGTGATTCATAGTAAGAAATCATCTTTACATCACAAACCCTGTAGAGCACAAACACGGAATCAACATTACCCTTCTGGTGTGATCTACTATAGCAGTTCTGTTCCCATCCTATGCTATCCCATCCCATCCCATCCCATCCCATCCCACTCAGTTCTTTAGAAACACTTGTTGCAACCTCCTAAGTGTATTTCATGACCCATTAGTGCACTTGTCAACCCACGTAACCTTCCTGATATCTGTGAGGCATGACCTATTTCTGAGCCAACAGGAATGGAGACGCTGAGGTTCAGAGCGAGTTGCCCAGCTAGCGCATGGCACACCCAGCCAGCCAGATATGGACGTGTCTGAAGCAAAGTTTACGCTCTGGACCACGTCCCTGGACAGACTGGAGGCCCCCCAGCCCTGCCATCTACCATCTCTGGCTCCCAACAACCTTTCTTCTGAGCCTGCCTGGTAGCCACCTGGTGAGGGAAACTGGCAGAG